TTGAGTTCTCAGCCCTGTGGAAGCAGAGTCCCCGGAGGCACCCCAGCACGGGAAAGAGCGTGTTGAGGGGGTGCATGTGAATACACAGCTTTGGTCAGAAGAAACCCAGCCACTGCAGGCCTACTGTCTCCCCTTACAGACTTCTGAGCCACAGCAGACTGTAGCTGCCCCTGACACAGGAAGGGTTAATAATCACTGGAAAAAGCTTGCCAACAAACTGTGACCCGGAGGTGAGAAGGCCGGTTAGCCAATGACGGGTAAGACCCCCTGGGGGGGCAACCTAAGCCAGGCGGCGGCCGCCCGGGGGCACAGATGGAGAAACGATATCAATATCGGGAGCAAGAGGGACCGTTGCCTAAGAGACCTTGCCTGCTCTGAGATAAAAATATAGGAGCACAGCAACAACATGATAATATCAAAACAGAGACCAAGGGAGGGCTCCTTGAGAAATCACTAAGAATTCTTGGCATTCGCTAATTACTTCATCCAGAACACCTGTGTATGTTTAACAGCTGTAAGCTATGTATATATTGAAACGCTGGTTATAATAAACTCAGAGTGGCCATCAGCCCTCTCCGCATCTATCCTGATGTGTACATTGGATTGCGACACCGACACAGACGCTTAGGATGGAGACACACTCCTCCATCCCATGCCACTCTAGAAGAGTTAAGAAATCTGAAGCAATCCTATTAATTCCATCTGCTGAGACTGGACCTTCTAGAACCTGACACTAATGGGATATTGGTGGACAGTTGCTCTCCTCTCCATGTTTGTTAGGAGAGTACATTGACTTGGGCCAGTGCCTTCATTCCTGATGGTTTTCTGCTCAGTTCCTGCAGAAAAATGTTGTTTACATGAACAGGGATGGCAACAGGATTGGGTGTTATGATCAAGGAGCCTGGCTTGAAGAAGGATCATCCCAGGGGCCCAACAGAGTGGTTAAGATCTTGGGCCCAGAAGCCGGTCAGCCAGGCCTGTTTTGGAATCCAGCTCCACATTTGATAGCTGGGTGACTCAGGAAACTTGCTGCATGTTTCCAACATTCAGTTTCCTCATCTGTAAAAGTGGAGATAAGGGACCATGAGGGGCGTTAAAAGAGATGATGTACGTAAAAAGTAGGCACACTGCCTGCAGCTCGCTAAGCTCTTGGTTAATATTAACAGCAATGATCTTTCTTTATGCTGGGACCTCCTTATGGGAAGCAGACATAAGCTGTGACAGAGAGGTTGTTACATGTTCATCTGATTCCATTTGATTTTCCACTTTTTAGGTACTATAGACTTGAAGAATATCCAGGAAGTTAGGTTGGGGTCAAATGACTGAGTTCTGGCCCATGGGATGCGGGTACAAATGATGTACACCACATCCAGGCCTGATCCTTAAAAGATCCTGACTTGTGCTCTCTCTTGATCTCATTGGCACAGCTAGAAATGAAGGACCCCAAGATGGCAGAACCACAGGATGCAAGAAGCTCAGATCCCTGAGTGCCTGTGTGGAGATGACATGACAAGGAGAGCTGCCCAACCTGTATTGGACTTGGTGAGAATAAGAAATAACTGTTTATTATATTGAACCACTGACATTTCAGGGTTTACTTGTTACTTTAGCATAACATAACCTATTCAGACTAATTTATGAAAACTAGCACAGGGAGTGGACAGGGCAATCAGCTGGCTAAGACACAATGGGTATTCCCAGTCAGACAGAGACAGGCAGTGTAAATTTCTCATCAGTAGGAAAATAATCTCCACAATTTTAAAACAAAATTGGTTGCTAATTTTCCACACAATTCCATGCTGGAACCAGACAATTGTGATAGCATGGGGCAGGTCTTGTGACATGAAAACCTTAGTCTTCACTTTCTGGTCTTCACAGAGCATCACCACTACTCCACTTCCATGCCCCAAACTTTGCATGGTTCTGTGGATTAAAAACATCTCCATAAATTGCAATCAACTGGTAGTGAATTTCTGCAGTGGAAACATATTTTTGTTTAAAATTGCACATCATGGCATGTATCTCATCTGGGGACCACCTGTGGAAGGAAGCGGGCATTGTAATTAAGGGTACACAAAGTCATAAATGATCACAGCCAGTCCATGTTAGAATGTGGCCACACATGTTTAACAAAACACCACAATCCCTGGACTGTCGTTGCCCTATGCCAACAGACCAGAAATTAACCCTGTAAAGCTCTGTTTTGAAGACCCCAGGGCCTTTGCATATACTGTTCCCTCTACCTGGAATGCTCACTCTTCATATAGCTAGTTCTTCACATTCAGACCTCTACACAAAGGTCACCTCTTCAGAGACGCCTTCCCTGACTACTCTTTCTACAGGAGGTTTCCCTCTTCCTTAATTCTCTATCTCTGCATCCTATCCATTTCCTTCATAGCACTTATTACGATCTGTACTTTTGCAGCGGTTTATTCATTCACTTGTTGATTACCCATTTCTCCCAGTAAGTAAATGTGACATCTACCCTAACTCTAGAATTCCGCATGTATGAGCTAATAAAGTCTCTTAGGGCTTAAACCAGTTTCAGCTGCATTTCCTGATATTATAGCTGATTTTACAGCTAAAACCTTCCTAACAAGTACATCTCCTGTCTACAGTGTTATGCCGTTGTCTTCCCTGATATTATCAGTATAAATTAAGAATCTTTTATGTGTCAGACCCTGTATTAGGTATTTTATTTCATTTCATCTTTGCCATAACTCTAAACGTTAAGGATTATTTAATGCTATTTTATAGATGAGGAAATTGTGGCCCAAAAGGTGTAGCTAAGATGGGTTGCTTTTTGTCAGTTCTATATCGCTTCCTTTGGGGGGCTTCCTTCCCCCACTCTGTGTGATTCTGAAGGAGCTGCTTTCAAGTATATCAATGGGTGGGCACATGATCCAGGCAGTCCAATCAGAGCATCTCTTCACTCTGTGACTGGGCCGGAGGGAGACACGTGAGCCCGGCAAAGCCAATCACAGTCCTTCCTTGGCACATACTGGCTAACATAGTTAAGAATCTCTATCTGACTCTAGGATCACACACTAAAAGGACCTCATAACCCAACTACAAACAGAAGCTATCTTGCTGCTGTGCAGAGAGAGTCTGCCTAAGAATGAAGCCCCGACTCAGTGAGAATGGGTGAAAAGGAGGCCAATGACATCGCTTGAACCCTGGATCCAGCTGTGCCTGAGACAGAGGCCTTGGACTTCTCAGTTACAGGAAGCAGTAAATTCATCTTGTTACTTAACATAGTCTAAGTTGGGTTTCTGCCACTTTCCGCTGAACAAGGATGGAGTGAGCACCATGTAGAAGCTTAAGAAATCTAAGTTCTCTCAATTTTCTTCCTTAAAGTGACCACTCCCCATTAACCTCCCAACCTATCAGTTGACAACATGTCAACCGTGCCAATCCAGCCACCTTTACTCCCTCACTACCCCTTATGTGTCACATTTGGTCCAGCCTCTAGCCCGTGCACATGCTGTTCCTTCTATCTGGCTGCAGAATTATGTCTTTCCAAAGAGGTTTACTTTTAAATAAACTTCTCCTTAGTCCGTTACCCTGAAAATGACTGACAGGCCCATTTGCTAAAAGTGGCAGCAAGAATTAAGAGCCTCCAATCCAGGTAGATTGTCTTTGAAATGTCCTATTTTAAAAGTCAGTGAGTATTGCCCTGTAAAGAAAGCACTATGGTTTCCCATTTGTGCTGAGTTTTATACTCAAGATAACTTCATAGAAATTCTCTCACTCCTTCTTCACAGCCCCGTTAAGAATTGGGTAAGGTAGCAGTTAACATACCCAACAGGTGAGAAAACTGAGGCCCAAAGAGGTGAAACAGCTTGACTCAGCAGCAATCATCACGTCCCACATGGAATTAGAGTTCTTCCCACCTCAGCCCAGCTTGAGAGGCAGGGACCTGTCCTAATTTGGCAGGTCACAATTATAAGCATCCAGGCCCAACCCTCTGCCATACCCAAATTAGCCAATGAAGTCCCGTCGGATTAGGTTGCCAGATAAATTCAGGATGGGCAGCTACATCTGAATTTCAGATAAATACTTTTCTTAGAATAAGCATGGCCCAAATATTGCGTGGGACACAGTTACAATAAAAAATTATCCATTGTTTAACTGAGCGTCCTCTGGTGTTATTTGTTAAATCTGACAATGCTACATCAGATGTTCTCCCAGGAGACCATAAGGGGTGAAAGCTGTAATTTCTTTGGGAAGTCAGACTTCTCATGGATGGATCCCCTGACACTGCTATTCAGTGCAGAGTATGATTCTCTAATGTTTGGTACGAGGGAAAGGGTTAATGTCATTTGATACTGTGACCAGGATCCAGGAACTCCTCAGTCTGACCCAATTGTTCATCCTCTTTCCAAAAGCTTCCTAGAGGGTCTGTTCACACAAAGAACAATTGCAAAATGCGGCTCAAGATGCCATTTTATTACAGACAGAGCAGTTGCCTTCCCCATTAGGAAACTGGCCCATTGGTCTTGGACTCTGAGCAATCAGACGAGCCATTTGTCTGCCGTGGGATAGAGGGGAGTGCAGAGAAAGGGGGCAGGCAGGGGAAGAGGAAGCATGGGGAGAAAGTGTGGCTGAGTCTTAGCCTTTGATGGTATCTCTAGTCCAGACTGAAGGAACTGGGTCAAAAGTCTCTTTTGGAAACTGGAACCGAGAACATAGAAAGTTGGAAGCTATGGGGTAAGCCAAGGCAGGTCACAAAATCAGGGAGGAGAAAGCTAGGCTACAAAAGGAGGGGAAAAATAAAGCTGTCTGCAAAGAGGAGCAGAAAAGAGGGTGCTTAGTTTTCTTGGATCCCACTTCTCCACTTCCTGGTTCCAGCTGCACCGCCAGCTGCATTTCTTCTGAGAACTTCGAATCAATTCTCCTTTGGTGCTTAAGCAACCTTGGGTGGGTTTCTGGTACTTAAACCCGTTGTGTCACTTACTTAACTACGAGAAAAACAACCAAATAAAGAGGCAAGGTCCCACTTCAGTTCAGTTCATTGCAATTTATTTAATTTAAAAATAAAAACAAAAAACCCAAAAAACAAAACAAAAATCAGTTTCCAATGAAAACACAAACACTTTGGGTGGTTATCCAGCTTTTTTTCCCTGTAGGCTGTTCCGGGCTCAAACCAATCAAATGAGTTAAAACCAATGTTGACTGGAGCCATAAAGCATGTTGCACCAATTAAATTACACCAATATATTATTATAATACCTTTGAAATGCCTTTCAGACCAATAAATAAAAAAAAGACAAATTCAAATAAAAAAAGTCAACTTTTTATTACCAAAAAAAAAAAAAATAGAAATTAAATAAAAGTCACAACATGGATTTAAAAAAAAAATGCAGTCAAGTTTCTCTCTCTTTTTTTTTTTCTTCTAGGAATGATACCATGCCAGTAAATCCCTACAGAACATTTCCAGTTTGGCAATAAGCAGTCAGTCGATCATTCACATTTGTACTCAAGACAGCAGGCCTGGGCAACACATCCCTGAATTTCATCCTGAAAAGTGCGCCCCCGTCATCTGAAGAAGCAGCACCTTATAACAGGGATGGAAATTCAGAGAGGACTTAGCATTTTTCATTTTGCCTGGGGTCTTGAAGCACTTCCTGAAAACTGATCATGCCTTGAAATTTACCTGTAAAAAGAAGTATAATTCTACTCCTTTGGCAGATGTGTAAACTAAGACACCGAAAGGCCCACCGAGGCAAGGAAAGGACCAGAGAGCTGACATCGAATCTCCCGTTTGGTCCACCAGGTCAGAAAAGTGTCTCTCACTTGTAATTCCATGGAAATGACTCAAACATGACTTCCTCGGCTGGGGATTGGCTGGTAGGGAGGATGGGACTGACTCAGGAAATAGAGGAGCTGCTTTTCAGGGCTTTTCCCTCTATTTCCAAGTTTTGCCTTGAAAGGGCAGTCAACATCGCATCTAAAAGCAGAGGATGTTAGCAGAATGTCAGAACGAGGTGGGGCCTGAGACACCAGCGGATCCACCCTTCCAACCCTCACTGAAGGGAACGCTCAGCCCCCAAAACACGGCAGTGTCTGAGGCCAGTAGCTAGTTAGCAGCACACCAGGACTCAACTCAGAATCTCGGCCTCTGAGTGGAGGACTGTCTTTGCCACAATCCACTGTCTGGGCTTCTTGACAAAAGAGAACATACATGTGGGGGTTTTTTTGGGGTGTGTGGGATTATTTTCCTCGATGATGTCATTTTTATTTAAAGATTAGAAGGATGGAAAACACTAAACAGATGCAATCACTTGGCAAAAGGAAAAAACACATCAACCAGTAGGTAGGTGTGATACCTAAGTCATGCTGACAGCTACCCGCTAGGCCAGCTGCCACGTGAGGGGCCGGCAGTGAGGCAGGAGAGGCTGTTCAGAAAAGGTTGCATAAAACGAGTTAAGGAGCAGGGAGCTCAGAGGTTGCAGAATGCCCTCCATGCACCCACACACCTCATACACACAATTTGCTATAGCTTTTTTTTCCCTTTGAACCTATATTGGAGTTCAGGAAAGAGATGGAATTGAATGAAAGCAAACTGAGAAGCTTGCCATAATACACTACTCAGCTCAACCTGAAGGCGCAAGCCCAAACCCTAGAGCTGGTGGGAAGGGGAGAAATGGGAGCTGCCTTCTCAGGGAAAGGGCAACCTCATCCTACTTAATGTTCTTAGTGCCCTCAGGTGAGTTCTTTCTCATCTCCCTATGAACCATTGTCTGTTGGTATTCCCAAAAACACTCCCAAGACTAGTCCTCCTTATGTGTCTAGGTGGCTCTCGGAAGTCAGCCATCTTGATACGAGGGTTTCGATTTGCCCAAGGCAGTAGAATCTGAAGTCATCCCAAATTCCCAAAGAAGACCATTCATTTCGAACCCAGTGTCTGGAGATGTCCCATTGTGGGAGTGACTTTGTCAGATAAGAGTCCTGTCACACCTCTTTTTTGCCTCCTCCAGGATCACTTCAATGAATCCTAAGAAAATGTTCTCTCTCCTCTATGCTTCCTCCTAACCCACTCTGCTCTTTCAACACCTTTTTCCCCAAAGCCTAGGAGACCAAAACCATGACAGAATACCCAGATTTGGGGATAAAACACCTTCTGCCTGACTTCCTTTTCCTCCTCCAAATATCCCACCTACACACTAACTCCCAGAGCAAACTCGCCTACTCTGAGAGGTCTACACTTGGGGGATCAGTAAACAGAGCAAACGGTTGAGCCAGTGGCTCCTTTGGAGACTATGGACAGTATCACATCCAAGTCAAAGCATTCATGCAGGCGAGAACCCAAGAGGCAGCATTCCAGTTAATATTGAGACGTTAAGGAAATTGACAAGTCGCCCCCTTGCTGGTGTGGATCAACGTCCCCTCATCTGCACAAAGACCACAGAGGGTCCTGAGCTCTGTTATACACCATAGTTTTGACACCACTATCTTTTTCCCTGTCTACCTTCGGGGGGTTATGCTGAACAGCAAAGCAGACATCAGGAAAGAAGAAGTGGAGAGCAGGGAGCCAAAAAATCACCACGGGCTGACTCTATGTCCTTAGCAGAGTTCAGAGCATTCTCTCTCTGACCAAGGCTCTGTCTTCCATTCATGGTAGACTAGCAAATTGACAAATGCCACGCCAGAGGCATACAAGTTCACATAGATCCCACAGGATGCCTTAACCTAACTCCCAGGGCTTAGCCAGGTCAAGGATGGCAACTACATGGCAAGAGTGCTACTGCCCCACTTCCCATTCCCATGGCAGCCATTACTATTCAATCATAGCACTCCTTCCTGGGCTACTCAAGCTAGCACATTCAGCAGCCACTATCAATCAATCACTGATTCAAGATCAGGTTGCTGAAATCTACTTGCTGGCCTCGTGTGCTCAGACCAAGCTTGCTATGGGAGGAGAGGAGGAGCAAGCTCTTTGAGCTCACCCACAGCAGATGGCTCCAGTCTCTCTTGCCCCTCCTCCAGAAGCATCTGGACGCTTCTAGGGAAATGCTTCCTCTCCCACACACTTCCTCCCCACCCTCTAAGTGCTGGCCAACACCACCTCCCCGGGACAGCTGGTCCTCTGGGAGGTGCCACAAAGCAAATGCCAATTAGGACCCAAATTCTGACTGGCAGTTGACAGGACTGGAAGAGAGCCCACATCTCCCTTTTAGGTGCTGGCTCAAGGCTGCAAACCTGGCCAAGCAAGATGGCAGCACCAATCCTTTTTCAGTCTCTTGTCATGGCCAGCAAAGAGGTAACCAGCTCGTTAGCACAAGTCACTGCTCCCCTTCCTCCCTCGTACCCACCCCCGCCCCGCCCTGCACCCCGGGGGAGCTAGTTGAGCTTGTTGCAGATCTCCAGCGCTTTCTTGTAGACCTGAGTCACGTCATCCATGTCCGTGAGGAGCGAGAAGCTGCTGTCTCCCAGCCGGTTCCGGTACCGCTTTAGGTACTGGGGCCGGGGCCGGTTCTGGAGCCCCTCAAAGTCCTGGATCTGGAGGAAGTTTTCGGCGGAGACGCAGCTGCGGATGCGCTGGCGGGCAGGGCGATTCTCCTGCAAATCCAGCAAGTCGAAGGAGTCGCTGGACAGGACGCTGTCTTCGCTGATGACGCTGGAAGGCCGGCTGTAGCTCCGGGAGAGGCCCTCGGCGGGGACGCCAGGCTCCAGCAAGGATTCCAGTGTGGGCATTTCGGGGCTCGCGAGGGCCGGGTCCATGGTGCCTGCTGAGTACTTGCTGCTGTGTTTCAAGATGCCCTTCCTGCGGCAGGAGAGGCTGTGGGACGTCACTCTGGCTGGGTCCGGGGGGCTGGGGGAGGGGATGCTGCTGCCCATCCCGTCATTACTGTCCAACAGCTCTGAAGACTCGCTGCGCTCTGGGGAGGAGTAGTAACCCGATTCTCTCTGCTGGGTCTTCTTCAAGATGCCTTTCTTGGGCATCGTGGCTGACTGTTTGGGGCTGAGTTTACCAGGCACCTCTGCCTCGGGGGAGCTCGGGACGGGCACGCCAGTCCGGCACAAGTCCTGCTCCATCTTGAAAGCAGAGGGTAAGGCAGGAGTGACGACGCCTTCGATGAAGCCGGTGCTGTGAGAGCGATGCTCGCTGTTGCTTCGCTTCTTCAGGATCCCTTTGGGCCTCTTGGAATTCAACTTGGATGGGCTTTCGGGCACCGAGTCCTGGCCGGACTGGGCAAAGTCATTCTCCTTCTTGGACTTCTTCAGCGACCGCTGCCGCTCCAGCATGACCTCAGAGGCCCCGGGTTTGGCCAGGCCCTTAATTTTGGCTTCGGCCTCAGCCTGCAGCCCCGTGGAACGGTGATGCCAATCGATAATGCGCGCCAAGAGCGGGGACTCGGAGTTGTGAAGGGCATCACAGTCGCAGACGCTGCTCTTGTAGCCCCAGTTCACCCACCAGTGGTTGGCTATGTCCTCGATGGTGGCCCGGCGATCAGGGTTCACCATCAGCATCCACCGAATGAGTCCTCGAGCATCTATGGGTCAAGAAACAAAAGGAACGATGCATTACATGGGAGCTTTTGGCTTTGGGACAGGGCTGACACTCCAGGAGTGGCTAAGGAGATGCTCACTTTAAGAAAACTCTACTTGGAACCTTGGTCCAGCCACACTATAGAGCGGAAAGCCAAAGTCTTCCAGACTGTACATCAAAAGCATCATCAAGGCTCCGAACCACCGGCCAGTGCGCTGTCACATCCTGGCACGTTTTCCATATGAGTGAAGGAAAGTCATGAACTACTGAGCTTTTCATCAACTCAAGATCTTTAAAAATGGGGAAGGCCAGGTAACCGGGAAAGAACCCAGACCCGACCCCGAGCAGGGCCCCACCATTCCTTTGGTGGATATCATTTTACCAAAAGGGGAAACAGGTGTAGATCACCCTGGATTTCTTTAGTCCCTCCAAGGTAGGCTTGTATAAACATGCAGTGCTCAGGGTTACCGGGAAAGCATGTAGGCACGAAAAGGAAATTCGGGGCTGAGAGGGAGAAAAAAAGGCTCCTCATCAGAGAGGGGAAGACAGAGAAGGATAGAGAGAAGCTCCACCCTGGCACCCCCAGGCAGTGAGAGGGGCCATGCCCTAGGCGGGCCTGACCCCAAGCCTTGGCCAGGTTCTCAGACCCACACCCAGGGAGCACACCTCTTTCTCTCTCTGACATAAGCCGGAGCCTACTGAGCTGTCAGATCACAGAGCTGATCTATATCTGCTCTCCATTTACAGCCGGTCTGAAAAATTCCATTTGCAAATTTCTGCTGCCAGAGAATTAGGGGAAAGTCCCAAAGGGATGTTGAGGAGGCCACAGGAACCAAATGACTCTCATAGCTTATAAACTGACTTCTAAGATCAAACTATGCTCCCCCAATGGGGGTTGAATTAAATCCTGGGAAGGCGCCACCTCCCTTCACCCGCATAGGTCGGCTAATGGGCAGCTGGCAAGGCCTGGCAAGGGGGCCGGGAGTGAGCCATACCCATGAAAAGTTACACGACGATCGCTCATTCAGTCATTCACTAAGTATTTTCTGAACCCCTGTCACGTGCCAGGAATTGTGTTGGAATCAGTTAGCTGGGGAGGCAAATAAGACTGCCAGAGAGGTCATCTGAAATCTTTCCAAAAAAAAAAAAAAGGTTGGCTTATTGAAAAAATATGCCTATCTATAGACATACACTCATCTACAATGGTCAATCCTCACTATTCACTGATTCTATACTTGTAAATTTGCGTACTCATTAAAATTTAGTTGTAGCCCCCAAATCAATACTCGAGGTGCTCTCCTGGTCATTTGATTATATCCTTAGAGTGGCAAAAAATTCGAGTTAACCCCAACGTGTATGTGTGTCACCAGCTGAGGCCAAACAAGATGAGGACACTCTGCCTCCCCGTTTCTGCTCTCATACTAACAAGTGTCCTTTTCACAGTCTATTTAGTCCATGTTTTTTACATTTTTTTGTACTTTTTGTTGGTGATCCTGCTGTTTAAAATGGCCCCAAGCATAGTGTGGAAGTGTTGTCTTGAGTTCCTAAATCCACGAGGGCTGTGGGGCACCTTATGGAGAAAGTATGTGGCTGGGTAAGCGTCGTCCAGGCGTGAGTTACGGCGCTGGTGGTTGTGAGTTCGATGTTAATGAATCAAGAACATATTTTAAATGAGGTGCTTTACACAAACATACATAAAACAAGGTTCTGTACTGATCGGTTGACAAAAGTATTGTGACCAGATGCTCACAGGAATCGAGCCCTGTATTTCCACTAGGAGCAAAGGTTCAGGATTCACCAGCTTTGTGTTCATAGCAACTTTATAGAACACAACTATTGCAAATAATGAGAATCATTTATGTGTGTGTGTGTGTGTGTGTGTGACGTATATGTATGAAGGGTCTGTGTTAACGACACTCCAAACACAGCCACCTGTACACACCCTTTCCATCCACATATGATGCTCTCCCATCAAGAGATGGAGCTTATGGCCTCGGCTGCTTTGACCAACAGAACATGGCGGAAGCGACATTATCTGGCTTCCAAGTACAGACATTAAGAAGGCTTGGTAGCTGCTTCTTCCTCCATCTCTAAGCTGCCATGTGAGAAGTTCAGGCTCCTTCCTGGAGAGAGAAGCCTGGGGAGCTTCCTCACAGAGAGGGAGCCCACATGGTGTCCCACAGTCAGCCCCAGCCCAGCGGCCACCTGATTCCAACTGTAGGAGAAGCCCAAGCGAAGCCAAAGAGCTCTAGCCGACCCAGGGAATCGAGAGAGATGGTTACATGGTTGTTGTTGAAACCACTGAGTTTGTTTTGTGAGGGTATGGGATACAATTGGCATACAGCAACAGATCACGAAACCGTGCCCATGTGCCATAGCCCCCGCCGGGGGCACAGGATTGAGAAAGAGCAGCTGGCGCCCTCATGGCACTTACAGTCCAGTGAAGGTGGTTCATATGTCCACATGGACTGGAAGGGACTTCATGTAACACCTTTTCCAAAATTTTAATTTACAGGGAGAAACTGAATCCAAACAGGGAAGGGGAATCGCCCACATTCACACAGCAAGCAAACAGGACTCCCAGCCCATCCGCCATATAGGACGTTTGTTTTGAAATTCCATTTGGGAAAGTTTGGGCAATCAGCTGAGCAGGCCAGCTCTGCCAGAAGGCAACGGTCTGGAGAGAAGAAGGAGGAAAGGCAGAAGACCTCATACAGACAGTAAAACAGAAGCAGCAGGAGTGAGCTGGGGCAGGCACGCCGACCACTCCCGCCCGACCCTCCGCGGCCACGCACCTGAGGGCTGCGTGGGCTCCCGGTACTCTCCACTGCTGATCTGCCGAATGAGGTTTTTGTGATCGAAACCATCGAAGGGCATGGTACCATAAACGAGAGTGTAAAGCAACACGCCCAGGGCCCAGCTGTCCACCTGGAGCAGAGAGACAGGACACATAGGGGCTGGGAAGCAGATTCCAGGATGCCTTGCAAACCATTAGCATCACAGCCTGTGAGCACCCACCCTCAACGACCCCAGGAACTGAATTTAGCACCTGGCAGACAGGGTCCCACCGCAGCCTGACACCTGATATGCAGTGCAGCTGGGGCCTGCCTCAGAGCCTGAACTTTCCATTTCAAACAGAGACCAGGTCGCAATGTAGATGAAAACCTTCTCAAACAGATTATCTTCTCTGATCTTCAGTACAGTTTTGTGAAACAGGTAGGGCCTGGATTATTTTCAACCCCATTTGACAGATGAGAATACTGAGGCATAAGGAAGCTAAATGGTTTCTCCAGAGCCTCACCCCAGTGATGGAGAGAAGACTGGGACACAGGGGCCTTCATTCCTAATCCAGAAATCAAGTCCTTCCTGCACCTTCTTCAAATGGGTCAGGGGCTGCAGACTCAAATGCTTTCAAGAGCCAGGCAGACAGCAGACAGGAACAAAGCAGGAGGGAACCTGGGGGACGACGTGGAGCGCTGGTGATGGAGACAAACTGAAACGTGCATTCACCCAGCGTAAGCAAGCAGCCTCCTCTTGGCCAGTGGCTGCTGCGTAGTAATGCTGGCCCAGCCCTGCTAGACCCTTTGGTTTTTCAAGAGAAGTCAGAAACCAGACTTTCATGTGAAATCTCTCAATTATTAAGTGTTTGTTCAGTTTGTTTTAGAAAGACTAATATGGCCAAATAAAGCAAGCTTGCTGGCCAGATCACAGCCTGCCAGCTTGTAACCTCGGAGAGAGATCATGGGAGATCAAAGCATTCATTATCGATGATAAACGTACAGTGTCGAGTTTCTACAATTTTGTAAATTGAATCCTACGCTCCTCCCTTACATTCTTATTTTAGGAACACTTTCTCTTCACTCTAATTGGTAGAGGCTGTTGGCAGTCGTCTCTTCACCCCCCAGGCCGGCCCCAAATACTCTCAAACAGATAAATATTTGGAAGGAAACATTTCAACCCACTGAGCAGCTGCTATTCAAAAGGATGCTAAGTGGATGAATCTCTCTGTAAAGAAAGCATCTTTTTGAAAGAGAATAATCACTCGAAACTCACCCGTTTTCAAAATAATATTTTCACATACACATCTTTTACGGTGGCCCTGAAAGCTTTAGGCATATAGAGAAATGCATGTCTCATGAAAGAGAAGATGCAATTAAAATGTAGTTCCTTAATCAAAAGTACAGGTTGTCAAAAATATACGAAAAAAGGTACTCACTGCGGAGCTGAGAGCTTTTTGTTTTTGTTTTGTCTGTTTTGTTACAATAGGGAAAACTGAAAACAATCTGATTGGTTAAATCTAGGGACATGATTAAATAAATGATGGTACATTCATAGAATAACATATGTTCTCATTAAAAACCATGTTTTTAATCATAAATTCAGAAAATGTCACAATTCTAAGTTAATAAAAAGCAAGATATACACATGTATATACCTATATAATCTCAATTATTTTTGAAACACAAAGATCTACACTGGAAAAAAGTCCAAAAGAAAAGTCACAAAAATATTGAGTGGTATTCTCTTAGAGAGAGATTGCAGGTAACTCTATTTTCTGGATTTTTCAAATTTTCTCCCGGGTGTGTATATTATGTCTTTTATAATCGTATAAGGAAAAGTTTTATTTGTTTGCTTGCTTGTTGGTTTCTTTTTAAGTGTTTCCTGGATTCAGTTCTTGCCCTCCCCTCTTTTCCTGCCCCCAACTCCACTCCCCACCCTCCCCCCATATACACCAGGCAACCTGCTCACCTCTGGCCCTCGGTAAGGCCTCCCATTGACAATTTCAGGAGATGCGTAGAGTGGGCTCCCACAGAAAGTTTGCAAGAACTTGTCCTTCTGGTACAGGTTGGAAAGCCCAAAGTCAGCAATCTACAAAGAGAAGCAAGACCCAGGGAAGCCCGTTAGCATTCCAGTAAGTGCCTGCCCTGGATCAACTCTCACCACACGGCATGAGAGCACCTGAGGGTCTGCCTGCTGGGTCACCATTTTCCCCCCAGTCTTGAGTCTTTATGAGGGGACCCGTCAACACAAGGGGACCAGTGACTCCCAACTGCAGTCCTTGGCCTTCATCACAAGTTCTGTCCTATCTGCACACTTCATGCTGTTACTTACTTAAAATTACTCCCTCCGTGGACTCTCTGTTTTCACTCGATTTAGACTTGCCCTGAGAAATCGCCACAAAATTCGAGGCTTGATGTTTCTGATGAACACTAGAGTGCATAACTATTCATCTGAAAATTAGCTATCTGTGGCCCACCTAAAATCATACTGCATCCACGGTGGTGTGCATATCCCAACTTTGGAAAACCCTGCCCCGGGCAACTGACACCACCATCTTTTCATCCATCCACACTCTGATCAGAACCGTACTGTGCCCACCTTGTGACCCTAGATAAAACAGGTCCAGCGCACTGGGTTTTGAGTCATCACATTTCGGGCCAAATTCGGCCACTAGCCATCTGTGTGACATGGAGCAGGTCACTTAGCTAGTCTCAGTTTGCACAGCAGAAAATGGGAACCCGGGATCCCTATGCTGTTTTAGATTATAGGATTATTGTGAGAATAATAAGAAAAAAAAAACTGATCAATCAAACTGAGACTATGCATGGAAAAGTGTTTTATAAACTTTACGTCTTCGGGTTCCGTGCAAATGTTTTAGCTAATCTTGCTTCTCCCGTGTTGCATGCTCCTTAAAATCATTCTCTTCACCTTTGGTTTCTAGAAATGTTTTATTTATTACCCTTTACGGCAGCACTCTTCCATGTATATATACATACACATTATCATATATATACATATAATGTATATATACTATATATAATGCATGTACATATATACGTATGTATATATAATATAAATATATAAATTCTCCTTGCCTACTAGACTGAGTCCCCTGAGGCAGGTGGCAGGTTCCACATCTTCCCCTCATCTTTCTACCATCCACACCTAGCACCTGCCCCCACCCAAGAAACACTTGTCATTAGAATAGGCAATATATTTTGCAAAGCACAAGATCATGAACGGGTAATGCAAAATAATAATAATAATAGACTTAGTTGCCACTTAGTCAACAACCTCCAATTCTCAGCACTGTTCTAAGCACTTTGTGCTCTCTAGTCTAATCCTATCTAAAACCCGATTTACACAAAAAGGTGAATGTGCTGCATGCCACCAAACTGTATACCTAAAAATGGTTAAAATGGTCAATTCTATGTCATGGATATTTTATCACAATTTTTTTAAAAAGTCATTGAACAGACGAGGAAACGGAGGTTTAGGGGGATGGGGTTATTCATCTCAGGAGAGCTAACTGGCGATGTCAACGCCGTGTCGTCGCCACAGCTCCAGACCACTGCGCGCACGGCCCCGGGTAATCCACAGATTCCTCTCTAGCCTGAGCCTTTCACTCCAGCCTCACAAGCCGAGCCACTGGGGGCTCCTGCCCTTCCCCAAGCTGATTCCCATTGGCGCCTTATAAATAAATAGGCTGAGCGATTCACATGCCCAGAGAGCAGCCCAGCCCAGACGCAGCTGAGGCTCTCTTTTGAACGCAGCCCCCAGAATAAGCCTATTTTGTAAAAGTTGTCCCTGAATGAATGGAATGTCATTGAAAGCAGCTGGTGTACAACCGCCCTCAGAAAACGCATTCTCGGGGCTCAGATTGCACTTAATTGCCCTGAATTCCACTTTCTTATCAAAGCCCCTGACTTGCTTGCAGGAAGCTGGTTGGAAACTTTATGAAGTGTGCCCCGTCAATCAGAAGAGGAATGGCACGGCTGCAGCCCTGGCATACCCCAAGAAGTCCAGGGCTTCATCCTCTCCGATGGCAGCTAAGGCAGGGACAGCCACAGCATAGCACGCGTCCCAAGGAAAATACATTCCCTTCCCCGCTGTGAAGTCTGCAGGGTCTGGAACACCGCAGGAGCTTCCAAATACACACGTGTGAGAGGCCCCGCCGGCGCCATGTGCAAATACACACGCACACTCGCACCAGGGGTTCTCCAAGTCTGGGCATCCTTGCGTTCTTTGTAGCCGTTGTGAGGAGTGTGTTTATGTTATGGCCCACTCCCATCCTCACAGACTGATGTTTATCAGCCTCTCCCAGTAAAACTGTCACTGCCGCTCACATAAGATTAATAGAGATCTAGATTAGTCCGTGTTCTTGGCACTTCAATGGAAAAGCCATATTAATCAACACATACAAACACACATAGTTCTCAAACCTTGAGCCACTCACACTTGGGCTGCAGCTCTAAGATTTACTGCCCTAAGGAGCGTCGATGAACTATAAGAAGGGAAAAGGCCATTGGTTATGCAGCTTCTCAAAGCCTCAGTTTTCTCATCTGTAAAATGGAGGTAGGAACAGTGTCCACCCCCACAGTGTCACAGAGAAGATTAAATGGCATAAAGTATGTCAAATGCTTAGAACAGGAACTGGCATGGCTTTGGAGCTCAATAAATATTTGCCTCCCACTCTTAAATCCACATAGGTAACTTTATGAACTTCTTGATACTGATGTTTGATGCTCAAAACGATACTGGTTTTCCATCTAAGGTAATGAAGGAAGGTTTCTTTTTCGAATATAATTTTTAAAACGGAACTGAACTAAATAAAAAATATAAAGTAAAATAGCACAGAAGATAGCAGGAAAAGGCAAAATCCATGAAGAGAGTGAAAGAAAGCTGAAATTTGGGAAATATTGATTTAAAACATCACAAAACAAAATACCCAAGTCCCAGAATTGGTTTTGACCTGAAAGAGCGCTCAGAGATGAGCTCATCCTGCCCCTCGCTCTGTAAGTGAAGCAACTGAAGGTTAGAGGACTCAGAAGCTTTGCTGAGGGGCGCAGAGATGAGAACAACTACGTGGGCATTGGGAGTCTTCTCAACCTGTATGCTTTCTCTGTAACGGGACCCCAGTTGTCTATGGAGGGTGACTCTCTAGCAGAGGTAATGGGGCTTTGCTTTTTAAGTCATATTTTGCTGACATACTGGTGATCTTTGAAGAAAGGTAACTACTTTGCTTTTTTTTTTTTTTTTGAGGAAGATTAGCCCTGAGCTAACATCTGCTGCCAATCCTCCTCTTTTTTACTGAGGAAGACTGGCCCTGAGCTAACATCTGTGCCCATCTTCCTCTACTTTACATGTGGGACACTGGCCACAGCATGGCTTGCCAAGTGGTGCATAGGTCCGCACCTGGGATCCAAACTGGTGAACCCCAGGCCACCAAAGTGGAACATGCGAACTTAACCACTGTGCCACCGGGCTGGCCCCACTACTTTGCATTTTTGCTGGCTATGGATTGTTCCCCTGCCCCGTACTGGTTCAGAACCACCCTGTGTCTCCAAACTGGGCTATTACGTTCAGCCTGGGCTCTGAGAAGGAATCTGGGAAGTCAACACTCATGTCCTCAATTTTTGGACTTTTTATTAATATCAAGCCTTTCCAGAGGTGTACCCTACTGGGTGAAAATCAGAGTTAAAAAGATAAACGAGGAAGTCACTATTCACATTTCAAAAGGATTAACCTCACTACAGCATGGATGAACCTTGAAGATGTTCTGCTAAGGGAAACAAGCCAGACACAAAAGGATAAAAATGATATGATTCCCCTTATATGCAGTACCTAGAAGAGGCAAATTCACAGAGACAGAAATTAGAATGGTGTCAGGAACTGGCAGGAGGAAGGAACAGGGAGTTGCTTTTTATTGGGCACAGAGTTTCAGCATAGGAAGATGCAAAAGTTCTAGAGATGGATGGTGGCGATGGTTGCACGACAACGCAAACGTTCTCAATGCCCCTGAAACGTAGACCTAAAAATGGTAAATTTTATGATACATACATTTTACCACCATTTAAAAAAAAAAAGGATTACCCTCAGATCACTGTGAATAATCACTGTGAGCTCACCCGACGAAAAGGAAGTAACAGCTTGCCGATGATTAACCGCTGGGAAAGGATGCTGATGACAATGATAACATAAGCGTCTGATCGTCATCTGCAGTGTCTAAGAGGAAGTGCGCTGGACTGGACCAACCGATCAGAGGTTCTGCAGCCAGAAGAACCTGGGGCTAACTTTGGACTTGGTGCTACAAGATGACTGCTGGGACCTGTCAAGCCACTCAATTTCCTCATTTGCAAATTGGCAATACTAATAGAACCCAACTCACAGAGGTGTTATTGGAAGGACTGAAGAATACGCATGTCGAGCCCCTGGAACAGTCCTGGCACCGCTGACTCTTTATAAATTACAGCTGTTACGATAATGCTGATGGTTTGGTTTATTCAACAGCCACTTGCTAAGAGCCACTGCCCACCAGAGCCCAGAGAAATGATCGTCATCCATTTCTAAGTAACCGTGGGCAGCATGAGAGGCTGCCTTGCATGGTGGGAAAAGTATGAGATGTAGGGGTTGAGTGTTTGGGTTCAAATCCGGGCCTCACCTCTTGAACCAGCACTAACCTCAAGCACGTTAGTTAATCCCTCTCTACTCCACGGAGGTCCGTGGAGCAGCAGCAACACCACCAGCTGGGAGCACAACAGCAACTGAGAATGGCAGACCCCATCCCGGGCCTGCTGAGTTAGAGTCTGCCTTTTAACAAGATGCCCAGGGGATTTGCTGCACATTAGCCACTCTGAAGCTGGGTTTTTTCTTCCGTAAAATGGGGGATGATGAGGATAATGTAACCTACCTCACAGGGCTGATCTGAAATCAAATGAATTGAGAGATGGAAAGTGCTTAAACCATGCCTCGCACATAGTAGGGCTTCAATAAATCTTAGCGATTTCTACTTTAACCTCTCTGACTCTTGGTTTCCTTTGTTGGAAAATGGAATTGCAATAGCACCAATCCCACGGTGTTGTGGAAAC